ATCCGAACAAGAATAATACTACGGGAAGAGCATATCCAAGGTCACATATAGTCAGCACAGTCACCTGCCCATGTGTGTCAAACCAAAATAATATAATGAGGTTTTAGAATGTATTGCCTTGATTATCTCTACATAAAAATTCTTCCTAAGTCCTATGATATTTCACTCAACCAGCAATAGGTTCATACCAGTATTAATGATGATGACACTGTTTCTCAAGGCACACCATCCTCCATCTTTTTAGACTCAAAAACAGAAATAAAACTTTTTTAAAGCTTTGTTTGAAGACAAAGGCAATTGTAATTGTGCCACCTACTGTGACCAGATTGAAGGAGGTTTCGGTTGTTGTTCTGTTTTGTTTTTTGTACAATACCACCTTGGAAAGGGAAATGCTTCAAAAGGGCTTATTTATTGGAGCAGGTATTTACAAACAAAATCAAACTGCAGATAATTAGGATAGCAATTAATGTTAATGAAAAGCCAGAATACATTATGTATATATAAAATGGCTTAGCATTGTATCTTGAGTAATATAACTGATGTATTTCAGACTGTGCTATTCAAAGGTGTTCTAATGGTATTTGTATAATTTTAAGTATACAGTACATGAAATCTTCAATAGGGAAGCTTTAAAAAGTAAAAGAAAATGGCATTTAGCTATCTTTTGCAGCTAAAATTCAGAAGATCAGAAATATCTGAAAAGTGGGCCTTTGGCCAGTGTTAACTCACACTCTCACCCCTGTTAAGTTTTCTGTTTACTTTTACGATAAAGTGGAATAGCTTTGTTTTTTAGTAAAGTATTAATAAGAACCATTTCCTTATTTAAAATTTTTAAATTTAAAATCATAAGTTGTATATTCATATAGTTCTTCATTCTCAACCTCCATGGAATTGGGATTTATTATTAATAGAGGAAAAATTGCTGGTAAAAAATCTACATCCATATGACATAGAATTTTGTTCTGTCTAGTGCCATGTGTGTTTAAACTGTGGAAGAAACACACATGTGTAAGCAAGGATGCCTGAAATGGAGGGGCGGGGCATGGCCCCAGATGGCCAGGACATTCTCATCCTTTTATAGGGGTCCTCCTCCCTCTCTTTTGGTCTGCACTCATGAACTGCCCAAATATGAAATAATTGCTTCATTTAGATCTTCTTCCCTCTCCTCACTCCTAAACCTAGTCTCTAGCTACAAGCAGAGAAATATTTAGTACAAGTATGACTGTGTCACTATCTTGCTTAAATTGCTCTCATGGAGCACCACCACCTGCAAGGTAAAGTCGTATTTACTAAGATAGCTTACAATCTTCAGGATTTGGACCCGACTACCCATCTCGCTTAGGATTAGGTTCAGATTAAGCATTCAGAAAACAAAATAACAGTGGCATAGACTAAGATAAAGGTCTGTTTCTTCCCACATAAATAAGATGCAGAGGGACACATCCAGGGATGAAATGGTCCTCCACTGTGGCCAGGTCCTTCTATCTTGTGCTGTTTTCATCCTCTAACTGTAACTTCCAGCTCCTGTACAAGATCACTGCTCAGCCAGCCCTCAGGTCTGCAGTCCAGCCAGGGAAGGGCTAAAAAAGGGTATAACCTTCATTTTAGAGACATTTTCCAGAAATCGCACACGCCATTTCCAATTATATTCCATTATCCAGAATTAGTCACCTATGCACATCTAGGGAGACTGGAAAACAGTCATTGTTCTGGGACCACTTTATACTCTTCAGTAAGGGAATCTTTTCTTTCTCTTTAGTTGACTATTATAATTTAACCATAGGCAGGATGCATGAAAGGAAGCCATAAAGGCCACTTGACCCTGAAAATATTTGCAGAGAGTTCTTCTTCCTGATGTTTCCCCAAACCAGAGCACAGTGCTCTCTGTTCTCCCGAGCAGGGTTCCCCTACATTGTTCTTTCTAAAGCAAATCATGATTGTCTGTCACACCTCATTGAGTGAGAGTGAAGCCTTTCACGTGGCTCTTCTTTCTGCAAATAAAGAAAAATCAAGAACGGCAGCTCTAAATAAAGACATGCACAGAAATCAAAATGAAATAAGGACTTGCCAGCTTTGCAAGACTATTTTCCCCTTGTCAGCATCTTCTAATTTATGGTTTGTTTATTTTTTTCCTTGGATGTAATAAATTACCTACCCTGAGAATTTCCTTTACAGTGCTGGATCATTCTTGCTTTGGTCATCATCTGTACAGCAATGCTTCTGCTCCAGGTGTGGGAATTTTATAAAAACCAGGTGCATCTCATACTCAGAGCTCTTCTCATAGCCAATATAGTCAAAATTTCCAAGCCCCAAACCAAGATATGTTGTCTGACAGAACTGAACTTAGGAAGGTACCAAAACATAATTTTAAAGCCATAGTGAACAAGAACTGAGAGGTGGGATATTTAAACCAGGTGCATCTCATACTCAGAGCTCTTCTCATGGTAGCCAATATAGTCAAAATTTCCAAGCCCCAAACCAGGATATGTTGTCTGACAGAACTGAACTTAGGAAGGTACCAAAACATAATTTTAAAGCCATAGTGAACAAGAACTGAGAGGTGGGATATTTTTTGGTTGATTGCAGAGAGTCGAAAGTTGAGGGTTAACAGGTGGTGGCAGAAGGAGCACTCACCCACCTGTCTCTTGCCTCACTTTGAAAACCACTGGTCCCTGGAATGCCTTTGAGATGGTCTCTTCCTTCTTTGGCTCTGGCCCTTCCCTTGTCACACAATCATCTTTCTACTCAACAGCCATGACCTGAATCACAGCACAGACCACTTTGGGAATTTTTTCATTAATCTATTAATTTATTCAATAAATATTTTATCAAGATCCCACCATTAGCCAAGCACTTTTCTGGGCACTGGATGAGTAAAACATAGTCCCTACCCTCAAGGAGATCATAATTTAGTAGACTAATTTTGAAAGAGTCTGGTAATTAAAACCTCCCATCAGTTTTTTTGAGCAATTAATTTTTTGAGCAGAAACTGAGAAACTAGAAGGAAGAAAGGAGCTTCTTAAGCACTGAGATTTTCGGAGTTCCATACAGTACATACAGTACATCTTATGGAATAGACAGGACCTGATCTTTCAAAAGTCCATGTTTTTCTTCATTAGGCTACATGTGTGTTTTATTTTGTTGCTATTGTTGTTGTTTTTAATTAAATCATTTATCTCTCCCTCTCTGAATATCTTAAATGACATTTTTGATATTTTGGAAAGTCACACTGGCTTTTCAGGACAACTCTCTTTTTTGAGATATAATTGACATATAAGATTATATTAGTTTCATGTGTGTGACATACTGATTGAATGTTTGTTATACAGTTGACCCTTAATGCGTGGGGTTAGGAATGTGGACCCTCGTACAATCAGAAATCCACATATAACTTTTGACTCCCCAAAAACCTAATTACAGTTGGCACTTTGCATCTGCAGTTTCAACCCAACTGTGGATTGAAAACAATATTTTCAATCCACCATTGGGCATCCAAGATTAGGAAACTGTAGTTGGGAATATGCAAAAATACTATTTTCCATCCACAGTTGGTTGAATCCACAGATTTGAAACCCGTGGATACAAAAGGCCAACTGTATTTATTGAAAAATATCCACGTATAAGTGGACCCATGCAGTTTAAACCCATGTTGTTCAAGAGTCAACTGTATTATGAAATGATTGTTATTATAAGTCTATTTAACATCTATAGTTAAAATTTTTTTCTTGTGATGATAGCTTTTAAGATCTACTCTCAGGAAAATTTGTCATATGGCAATTATTGTATTGTGGGAAGCTTTAAAAAATTAGATTGTCAGTAAGAACTCTGGGTCAGCTACTGAAGAACGCACTCTGTTAGAAGAGGAAAATACTCTGCCTACTGTTACTAAAGCCTGAGGAGACCTGGGTTCAGAATAAAATGCGTTCCCATGGGTGGATCTGCAGGAGGTGCTTCTCTCCGAGGCTGAGCTGACCCTCAGGCCTAGGTGCTTCATGTCCTCAGAGACATTTCAAGGGCATTTCCTTTGGCCATCTTGCCATCATTTGTGAATATTTAACCAGAAACCTTTAAACCAAGAAGAGTAGATATCATGATATTCAGACCAGTGAACTCAAGCTGGTGATTTCATCTGTTTGTTCTTCATCTGCTCTCGGTTTGTTGAAGGGAGGCTTTTGACCCTCTGATGACAGAAATACAGGGGCAGATTTTCTCTAAAGCTTTGATATGTTTGCCACACCATTACTCTTTTCAACTCTGATTACCGTGGTGGGATTGCTTGGGTGCTGTAATTGTTACCACAGAATTCTAGCGAGAAAGCATGTGACAGAAGATAGATACATCCTCAAGTCACAAGGACAAAGTACAAGTAGCCTCTTGTTTTGTTTTGCTTTGTCTCACTCACATTTATGGAGTGTTAACTGTATGTCTACATGATTGGCCAGTGCTAGGGAGGGGGATATACAGGTGACTAACAGGTAGGCTGGTCTGCAAGGAACTGAAACTACCCTGGAAATCACCAGACAATTTTGGAGTGGAGAGACAGATGAAGGGGAAGTACAGAGTGGAACTAGATCTCTCTGCAAAGGGGAATCAGCAAAGGTATTCCAGAGAAACCGAGTCCTTCTGGTATGCTAGCTTTATGATTAACATACAATTAAGGATAAAACCAGAAAAGCAAGGGAAAAATGCAATCAGTTATTAAAATCATGGACAGAGAGGTGAGTCTCTTTCGAATAATTTTAAAACACTTTAACATTTTTATAGTTTTATTTTTCAGATTTACCGGCTTTCACCCAGACCATCTCCCCATTACTGACTGGAGTTGGCTTTTCCACCCTACAGAGGTGGCAAAGTTTTTCCAACAATGCAGTAAAGGTGCTCTTAGGGACAGTGATGAGTTCCACCAGAAAACAAACACAGTAGCAGACAGCACAGCAAAAGAGAACAATATTTATAAAGGGACGTGTTAACCATTTTCCTCCTCTTGTTCATTCCTCCAGGTCTTTGCAGGAGACGGGCCTGGAACCTAACCCCGGGGTGTCCATGACCCCCTCAGTTGCACTCCGTCAGCTATGAAAGGGTTATCAGGCAGCCGCAGCCATCACCACGGAGTCACCTGTGATTCCGCCTGTGACTCTCTGTCGCACCACTCGGACCGCAAGCCATACCTGCTGAGCCCGGTGGAGCACCACCCTGCGGACCACCCTTACTACACTCAGCGTAACTCGTTCCAGGCCGAGTGTGTGGGCCCCTTCAGCGACCCACTAGCCAGCAGCACCTTCCCGCGCAGGCACTACAACTCACAGCAGGAGCTGAAGGACGAGTGCGCCCTAGTGCCCCGCACCCTGGCCACCAAGGTTAATCGCATCCCCCCCAACCTCCTGGACCAGTTTGAGAGGCAGCTGCCACTCAACCGGGATGGCTATCACACGCTGCAGTACAAGCGCACGGCCATGGAGCACCGCAGTGACAGCCCGGGCCGCATTCGCCATCTGGTCCACTCTGTCCAAAAGCTCTTCACCAAGTCGCACTCACTGGAGGGGCCATCCAAGGGCAGTGTCAATGGGGGCAAAGCCAGCCCGGATGAGACACAGACCATGAGGTATGGCAAGCGAAGCAAAAGCAAGGAGCGGCGCGCTGAGCCCAAGGCCCGGCCCAACACCTCCCCTGGCTGGTGGAGCTCCGACGACAACCTAGACGGCGACATGTGCATCTACCACGCCCCCTCGGGAGTGATGACCATGGGCAGGTGCCCTGACCGCTCGGCCTCGCAGTACTTCATGGAGACCTACAATACCATCAGCGAGCAGGCGGTCAAGGCCTCCCGAAGTAACAACGATGTTAAGTGCTCCACCTGTGCCAACCTGCCCGTCAACCTGGATGCTCCTCTCCTGAAGAAAAGCGCCTGGTCCTCCACTCTGACAGTGAGCCGAGCCCGGGAGGTGTACCAGAAAGCCTCAGTTAACATGGATCAGGCCATGGTGAAGTCTGAGTCGTGTCAACAAGAACGTTCCTGCCAGTATCTTCAGGTACCATTTATGTTGGGTGATGGATGTTTTAGAAATTGTACCTGCTAATCATGTGGTATCTTCTCCGAGTTCTAATGTTGACTCTACTATGAATTGTCTACATGAACTTGAGCAAATTGTTTAACAGGTCTATGGCTAAGCGTTTCTATCAGGAAACAAACCTACTACCAATTTCATCTAGTTATCCTGAGATACTAGATATTAAAAGTACTTTGAAAAGCACGCCTACATAAAGGCGAGGCAAAGAGTGTTTTGTGTTCTTTTGTCTGAGGGATCATAGGATAGAGAGGAGAGGAAAGGGGAGTCTACACAGAATTTTAAAATAAATCCACCTTTTTAAAAAGCCAACAATGACATTCGGAATTTTGGAAAGATTTTAATTAGATCTATCCAGAGTTCTTTTTTCGTTTTTGACTTTTTTTAAGTTGTAAAATTCTACCTGAAGTTATTAGTTTGAGAAAATCAATCTACAGCTTCACCATTGCTATTGTCACACCAACACCAACACTAACCACACTCCCACCCAAAGCCCCTACTCCCCCAGAGTGCAGGGAATGCCTTGAGCCCTGAGAAGATAGAGATCAAGCCAAGTCGAGGACCTGACAAGCACAGCTGCAGAGACCCAGGACAACAGAGAAGAGAAGGAAAAGAAGGGGGAAGCATCCACACAATAAAATATAGTGTGTCAGTGTGTAAATCCCACACACATGCAGAACCAAAGCAGGCCGCTCCTCCCCTACCACAGTCTCCTTGTTTTCCCTACTGCCCTCTAATCTACTTAAGGGAAAAGTCTTTTTCTTCCCTACATCTTCCCTCTAGTATTGTCATTTTCCCCAAGATACAATCCTTTATAAAAAATTACCCTGATATTCTTCCTTTTCAGTGTTTTTTCTCTGTCTTCTCCTGCTATCCCCATCTTACAAAAAAAAAAAAAAAAAGTACTGTACTATGAAAGCATGACATAATCATTTCCCACTCTCATCTTAAAAAGAAATGCTGGGTGGGTTGGGGGCGGGCGGGAACCCTTCCATTGAGAAGTTTATCTTTCGCTCTCTTTGAATTCCTCCTGACAAAACTGGCTCCCTGGAAGTGCCTCCACCAAACCCTGAGAATATTCTAGGCTGGCAGTCAATGGGCGAGGACAGTGCCAGAGCCCATCTCCAAAGTTCAGAAGAAGCCACCAATGTGTGGATAGTTTTCACAAACAACACACAATTACATGCAATATTTCCCACTGAAAGTGGTATTGCCCAATTTACTATAAGGTTGCTACATGCATTAATTAAGTCATCAAGAACTATTAACAGAATTTGAAAGCTAAAGGTATTAATTAATCCACACTCCTCATTTAGCATATAAAAAAGTAAAGTCAAAGAAAGGTAAAAGTTTGATGGCAGAGGTGGACTAGAACTCAAGTCACTTAATTTATAGAAATGACCATTATAAGGGTTACAACTGAAAGCTTTAGAAATTCCTTAAGCACGTAAATCTCATCCACCACTAAGAATAAAGTATTTTGATAAGAATATCTGTCATGAAGAAAGACTGGGTAATGAGACAGAAGCTCTAGAATAGAATATTTGGTCTATTAAGATTCTATGACTAGTGGCAAAAACAGAACAAATTAAAAAAAAAACGCCTGGACTTTAATAAGTAGTGATAAGATTAGATAAAAAAATACCAGATTAAAAAAGGGTACTCTACATGGATCTGAGGTCAGCCTTTGTTGCTAACGAAATGCTTGCATAATTACCTACATTCTTCCTACCTTAAATTTATTTCTCCTTCCTTTTTATACCTTTATGAAGTAAAAAGCTCAAGTAATGGTGAAAAGTGGAAGGATAAGGAAAGAAAGAAGGAAACTGATTAATTAAAAATCTACTATGTACTGGATGCTATAGCAGACATTTTCACATTTGTTATCACCTTTAATCCTCATAATAATCCTGAAAGCTAGATATAATAATACTCTATTTTTACGAGAAATGAAACCAAAACTTAGAAATATTAAGTGATTTAAAGCCATGTGACCAGTAAGTTGTAGAACTGAGATTTAGATTTAGATCTATTTGACGCAAAATAGCTCTTTTTTATACACCCCATTACAACCCAGGAATCAAGGGCATGAAAATGATGAGCAAGGAGAAAAAAATATTTAAAGTAAACATATTATTAAAGTTCTTCAGTAAATGAGAATGAAGCTTAAAGATTTAAGTGTGGAATTTATTAAAGTAGCATTATTGGAAATTTCCTTTTCAAATTAGTTACCTTATTTTAAGCCAGTTTTTAAAATGAAATATTGAAACTTACGGAAAGATATAAAGAAAAAAACTCATTTATATATCATACAACTAGAGAAATGAAACATTAATTACAACGAATCATACATGTACCTTCCTCAATCCCATTTTCCTACATTCCTCCTGCAAGTAATAACTTATCTGACTTTGATACTCAAAGCACCTCTGTTTTTAATTCTAAAGTTATTGAAGATTGAAAACAAATTAATACTTTTTATCCTATATCGGGAAATAACCCAAAACCAACTCCTTAAATATAAACTGAGCTCAAAATTATACCTTTCTTAACAAATGTTGATATTTATTGAGCTCCTATTCTGTGCAAGGTTTTCAAACTGAAAAAAATATTCTATATTTCGATGTGGGGAGATAGTATATAGTGAATAAACTAAACGTAGAACAGTGTGTTACTCTCAACCAGTGCTGAGGTCGAAGAGTCCCTCTAAAGAAAGGGGAGAGGGAGCTGCACATTCACAAGGGAGGCAGCGAAGGGGGAAACTCCTGAGAACTGAACGTTCTCTTCAGCTCCCTTCTTGCTCAATAGGAAAGAGAGAACCTGCCATCTGTGGAAGCGCCTCTCAGAAAGATAGTTGTAGCCCGCCCCTGCAAGCTCCCATGGGATCATTTCATTTATAAGCTCATCCTTAGAAGCAAATTTGGAGAAATAGAAAGAGGGTTTTTTTTTTTTTTAGTTATATCGCTTTAATTACCAACCAATATTAAAATTATATTTACATATGTGTTCAACTTCAATGTCAGAGTTTAGTGGACAAAGCATTAAACTTTAAATAAGAGATTCTGTATTCTATTTCCTGTTTGGCTTGAAATCATCATTTTAACTCTCTTTGTCTCCTTCCTCTGCTACAAAATGAGATGCTTGTTCTAAAGGCTTGTGATCTCAGTCCACATCTTTAAACTACTAAGTTACATATATGGAGTACTAATTAGAGCAATTTTCAAGAGCCTGTAGCTCTCACTTAATAAATGCCTACCAAAAGTGATTGTCCTTTCAATGTTATCTAATTTGCTCTTTAAAACTCTAGGAGGTATTTTACAGTTGAAGAAACTGAGATTTAGTAAATTAAGTTAAGTAACTTGCCCAAGGACAAACAGCTAGTACATGGCAACATGGTGAGTCGAAACTGATTCATCTACCTGCAAAGCCTGGATTCTTTCCCTTTACCAAGCCCAATCTCTACCCCTTTCAAACATAAAGCAGAGAGGGGAAGCAGTATGTATCAAATATGTATTACATGCCAGAAACCGTAGAGTATCTCATTTAGTACCCAAACAACTTTGTAAAGTAAGTATTACTATTTACTCCAGCTTATAGATGACAAAACTGAAGCACAAACAATTAAATCATTTGCCCAGGAATGTATAGGGAGTAAGTAGAAAAGCTAAGACTTGATCCCAGATTGGTTGGAATCACTAATGTGCTTCAGAAATAGAAATAAGTATGGGTTTTTCTTTTCATTTTATTACCTGTTTTATTCTGTAGCAAATGCATGTGTTCACTTGACCTCAAATGACCAATCTTAGACAAGCAATGAGATGACCGATAGGTCCCTAATTTGATTCAAGACTGAACAAAGGTTAAATTCATTGTCACCAATAATAGAATCTAAATAGTAGCAAAGTTCTGATTCTCCCTTTGTAGAATTATCACTTAGAATTAATTTAACATTGGCCATTGCCACAATAATATAGAAAAGGAGAGGTCTGTAGATATTTGGTCTCCACCTGACATTGATTTAGAAATAAAATACTACAGCTTGAAATCATTGCAAGTTCCAATTAATATAGTCAATTGTTGATAAATGTTCTCTCACAGGTTGTTTGTAGTTAATTTAAAAAAAAGACTCTTTTTTCCCCCCAATATTGTTATTTTTAAATGTCAAGAATCAGATGTCTGCTGTGTGGAACTGTTGTACTGCTGCCAGTGACTGTATTGGGGTTTGGAGCAGGGACATGGATTTGAAGACATTAAAACTGTTTAATTCTCAGTGGAGATGTGGTTGGCTTTTATACATTTGGAATAGAACATTTATGGCACATCTCAGGGTAAGTGCTAATAGTTAAGTAAATAAAATAGGCATGAGATGAAAGGAGTAAAAGGAGGTTTTGTTGTGGTTTTGTTTTTGCTTTAAAAAGCAAGATTCTTGGTTCTGTATGTGCCTCTTTATGTAAATGTTATGTGTTGAGTGCCTGGCATATAAAGCCATTCAGAAGAGCAAGATTTTAGATTTCCAACTGTTCACCTAGAAAACAAAATCCCTTCAAATTATGTATTTTGCATTCATTCAGCAGCAGAAACAGGAAAAGGGAAACAAAACGCTCTCCGGTAGAAGTAGAGAGAGACACGGGGGGGGGAGAGAGAGAGAGAGAAAGAGAGAGAGAGAGAGAGAGCAAGACAGACCCGAGAAAGAAAGCACTCACAGAGATGAAATTTTAGGAGAGCAAAATGATCGACCTTTTTAAAGCTGAGTGGGTTTCTTCAGTTTGTGTGCAAGTTTCAAGAAATGGACGGACTGACCAGGTTTGGGTACAACCCTTTTATTACTTTGTATTTGGTGATAGTGTATTGTTGGTTTGGGTGGATTTTGGGGGGAGAGGGAGGTTAGTTTTGTTATTTTATTCTCTAAACTATGGCTAGAAAGACTGAAACAGCTAACTGATTTGTGTACAGATGATAAGAAA